TCATGGTTATCAGAAATACAATAGGCTGTCACAATGAAGAAACATGACTTTGTATCAGGACTGGCTTCCAATCTCTGTAAGCAGATGCTGTCTGTCATTCTGTATGCATGCAGCCTCTCCCTGATCCCCTGCAAAATCAGCAGAGTAACAGAAACACAGGTGAGACAAACAGAAAGAAAAATAGGTCTGCCATTTGGCTTTTGCTGGTTTACCCATATCCATCCTGAGCTGGATCCTTGTATGCTTTGGAGGTTATGCCTCCAATCCAAAAGCTGCACACAGCTATAAAATCCAATCTGTATGGCAAGGATACTCCTCAGAAGAAAGACATCCTCTTTTCACTTCTCCTTAGGGAAAAGGTCTTCCCTCAGGTTATTCCCTCTTGCCCTGGACTGATACACTGGATTTCCGTTATCTTCAAAAAAAGCGTGATTGTCTATAGCAGTTCTCCAGCCTTGACAGGAAAGGAATCTTTTTCAGAAGACCTCTGCTGACTATTGTTCAGTACAATGGGACGATCATGCTCCTGTTCTCCATATGATCTCAGGGCACTTCTACCTCTGAGCACTAAAATTTTGCTTCTCTTTGGAAAAAAAATCCCATGCATATGGACAACTGACTCTTTAATGGAAAGTGTATGCATCAACCCATCTCCTTCTGGCAGCAAGGCTGGAACGGGAGCTACCTGTGTCGCACAAGGCAACTGTATCTTTCTGCTAGAAGGAAAAATCTGAGGACCCAGCCTCTGAAGCCCAGCTGACCCCATTTCCAATTTCCAAGCCTCATGTCAGCATGTGGCCCTCAGCGGGTGCCTGCCCAACCCCTTGCAAGGCCCTCCACACCCCCTTGGAGACACCTGGTCCTCTCTGCCAAAGGAAGGTATTGTCACAGGCAGATGTGGGGCTGCAGAGCACCTCTGGTGTACAAGGACCCTCAGCCAGCCTCTGGCTTCACCGGGGGAAGCACAGCAGGCAGTTCCAGGCAGAGATGGGGGCTGGCACTGCCTGTTCTCCTATGCTGGCCTCTTGTCCTTGATCTCATCCTTCAGTGTCAGCAGTGTCACACGGTCTGTTCCCGCGCTCCTAGATAATAAATACAAGCCCTTGCAGACATGGAGCATGGAATTTGTAACTCTTTAGGCAGGTATTGCTGGTATTTTATCACTTTCTCAAATGGCCCATCTGTCTAATTCCACCAGCAAATGAGGACTGGAGCTCCACAGTTTCTTACTTCGGGTGTTTATGCAATCAGCAAACCTTTTGGCTTGTGGCCATCTTCAGAAATAAAGATTAATAATATTTATTTATATCAAATAATTAACTAGGAAATACAGGCATGATACAAGCTTGATAATGAGGCATTATACAAACACACAGCAAAGCAACGTTCCATCTCTCAATCAAAGTAACAGGCAGGAAAGAATAAGAGAGGTACCAGAGCATAAGGAAACAGCATTTCTGTATCACAAAGTTTTATTGAAAAAATTGCTGCTTATGGTTTATTAAAGACTGTGAAAAAACCCCCAATGTTTAATGAAATGACAGTCAGTCATAGGGATGACCGTGCTGGGTCAGAACAGCGGCATTTCAAGTCCAGTCCAGGACTCTGACTCCTAGAGCAGCCAACAGTAATTGCCTAATGACAGCATGAGGACAGGGGAGGCTGCTCCCCAAAATGCTTCCGCAGGATGCGGATTTGCACCTCAAAGAGTTCCTGAATCAGAGGTATTTGTGTGGAACATCTCTGCACAGATTTTTCTTCCATGATTATGCTTAATTACTTTTTGAACTGATTCCTGACATCCTGTAGCAGTGAGTTCCAAGATTTGTTTCGTGTGAAGAGGTATCTTCTTTTGAACTTGCCACCTCATAATTTCATTTGATGATCCCTCTTCTCCCCCAGCTGCTATGCTACACATTTCAGTAAATAGTTCTCCTTGAATCCAGTGGTAACTTCAGGGGGGAAAAAAAGAGAATAAACTTCATATTTTAAGAATTCACCTGTATGAAAGCATATATATATAATTATATAAAATACACTGCATTATATTTTCCTAAATAGCAAGTCCATATTCTTTATCTTACCAAGGTCTCACAAAAAAGCCACCAAAAAACCAAACCAAACAAAAAACAAACAAAACCCAAAAAACCTCCCAGACAAACAAAACACCCTCAAAAAACCAAACCCAGTGATCCTACACCTGACACCTCCTCCGATATGAAAGGAGCAATGGACTATATGCAATTAGTAGGATGAAAACAGGTGTAATGCAATTGCACTGTGCAGACCAAGAACATATGTGTTGTGGGCATGTCCACAAAACCAGCATACTTTAAGCAAGTAGGAAGACATCTTGAAGTGATCCCCTGAGCACTTAAAATCTTGAGCATAGTCAGGACCTTGGTGTATTTTTAACATTTACCTTATCACATGCTTTTTAAAAAGGTAAGAATCTTCAAACAGGAGACTATTTGCTGTCATTCTGAGTCATGTCAGTTTTAATACAGTCCTCCTCTACTCAACCAGAGGGAACAGGGATAAAAAGAAAACCCCACCTTAGGTGTCTCCAGGGTGGACGTGGGTTTATGCATTCATTGTGTATGTCTGCTTAGGATCAGAAGGCCTGAGCTGTAAGCCCCAAGGAGGGCAGGCCTGCATCTTTTCGTCAGCATCTTACCCAGAAAGGGCCTGGCCCTGTAATATCTCTGCAACCTTCTCCTGTGGCACCATGGCTCAGACTAATGGAGGAGAGATGGAAGAGCTAAGGCCAAGGCGATAAGCTTTATCAGTCCACTTCCTTCACTGGAACAGCCAGTCTCAGGTCTTAAACAGATGCTGTTTTAAAAGCACACACATAGCACAGCTGCCAGAACAGGGTAGTTTTTTTTTCCTGATGGCATGGCACCGGCTCCCCTCAGCTGCTTTAGAGAGAGGAGGGGCGCACGGTTTGAAGGAAGGTAGGAACAAACACCTGCAGGAAGAGTCACCGAGTCCTTGAGGGAGGACTAAGTGATAAAGCCAGTCACCGAGACCTCGAGGGCGCCACACCCTGCCCTGGGGCTTCTCCCAAGGGACGGGGACGCGCCCAGCCGGTTCCCCGGGGCGCGGGTGAGCCGGGACCTAGAGCAGGACGGGCGGGGCGCGCGATGGCGGCGGGGCCCGGGGCGGTGGCCCCGCGCTGCTCCCCCGCCACACCTGGGCCCAGCCGTGCGGCACCGCCAGCGGGCCGCTATTTATAGTGCGCTATTTTAATCGCGAGGGGCCATTGGGCGCCGCCCGGGTGACGGCACCGCCGCTCCCGGGGCAAAGTCCCGCCGCCCCCGCCTCCCGTGCTGGCACGGGCGGCGCCGGGAGCGGCCGGCTGTGCGCATGTCCTGGGGAGCGGGAGCCGTGTCAGGAGGGAAGGGGAGCAGCAACTGGAGCAACGTCTTCAGTCACGGACTCGCCGGGCTGGGCTGGGCTGGGCTGGGCTGGGGTGGGGGGAGACTGTGGCTTCCTGCCCTGCTGCAAGTGGGGGAGACGCAGGTCGTCCCTGCCCCGAGGCCCTGTGTCATCTCCGGGCGCTTCAGCTTCCGCGCAGAATGGCGGGGCTGGGGGGCTCCCTCCTCCTGCTTCTGACGGCCGGGATGGAGAAGGCAGCAGCGCCCGAGGGTGGGGTTGCCAGGTCTGCGGGTAGGGCGGACAGAGGCATATTTCAGGGGGTTCATCCTTAGCCTGACCTGCAGAGGGGGAAAACATCCCGTGGTGCAGCAGTCGCTTGTCTCTGTCGCTGCAGCAGCGCAGGGATGAAGGGCTGGCAGGGGCAGCTGGGCTCACGAGCCTGAGGGGAGGGCAGGTGCGAGGGACCGGTGACAGCAGGCACAGCTGCCTTAGGTGTGAGTCTCACTGTGAAGATGTGCTAGGGCCTTGGGATATCCCTGACACCAGTGAAATGAACCTGCAGGAAGCAGCCATGTTGAGTCCATCTGTAGATACACAAACTACCTTCACAGAACCAATTAGGTTGGAAAAGACCTCTGAAATTGAGTTCAACCTATGACCCAACACCACCATGTCAACTAGGCCATGGCACTAAGTGCCACATCCAGAACACCTCTAGGGACAGGGACTCTACCACCTCCGTGGACAGCCCATTCCAGTGTTTAATCACCCTTTCTGTGAAGAAATTCTTCCTAATGTCCAGCATAAACTTGCCCTGGCACAGCTTGAGACTATGTCCTCTTGTCCTGTTAATAGTTGTCTGGGAGAAGAGACCAACCCCTACCTGGCTACAACCTCCTTTCAGGTAGTTGTAGAGAGTGGTAAGGTCACCCTGAGCATCCTCTTCTGCTAAACACCTCCAGCCCCCTCAGCCGCTCCTCATAGGACATCTGCTCCAGACCCTTCTTCAGCTTTGTTGCCCTTCTCTGGACAATACGTTAATTCAGCTTTGCTGCTTTGGGGGTCTACATAGGAGTATCCTCACATCCCCAGTCTTCCATGACAGGATGGCACAGAGTGCAATGGCTCAGGTCACTGCAGATTTTCTTTTTTTTCTTTTTTTTTCTTTTTTTTTTTGGATATAGCTCAAGTGCTTTGTAAATATTTAACTCAGTGCCATTCAAAAATAGCCTCTAGAACACCGCACCATAAAAGCCATATGTGACTTTCATGCTCGGTTTATAGAAAGTTTGTGATTATAGTTGGGATATATGCTTTTGGCAGCTGCAGTCCCTCAAGTCCCCAGTAGATCTGCGTTGGTATGCACCTGAGAGTAGGGTCAGAAAACTCCACCAGGAAAGGTGAAAGACCAGATTACCATTTCATGAGATCAAAGAACTCAACAGTAAGTAGTGTCAAGATCCAATTGCTTGGTATTCTTACATGAGTGTGGAAGTTTTTCCCATTCACCAAACTCTGTTCAACTAGAACAGGACTTTAAGAAAGCTGCAATTATTAGCTTGGCAAACGTAGCATAAGACTGAACAAGCTGTGCAAATTGCATCCCTTAAATCTTGCAGGAATCATGATCCCTGGAGTTCTTGGATGTAGCTCCCAGGAGGATGTAGAAATCAAGCCACGTGAGCTGGGTGTCGGAAATCCCCAGTTTTCTACAGCCAGTAGAAAAGATGCTCCCAGCATCTTCTGGGAGCAATACAGGTTGGAAAAGCAACAACATATTGGTGTGGCCCTGAAGTACTCATTTGTGTAAGTCGTTCATCTTCCACAGGATTTTGCCAGCGCAGACAATATCTGTGTTAATCTGGAGCCTAAACCCAGTGGCTCCTGGACAGTTTCTGGCAAATCAAAGGCCCATCACACACTAAGCACACAGATGGGGATGGATTTTTTACTATAACTGTTTGCTAACAGTTATAGTAAAATATTAATTAGTTGGACTTCAAATAGTTTAGTTCACACCATTTCCTGATTTAGACTAGGTTTTTGGTAAGTGGAATGCAATACATAAACTTTGCAGAAGCTGTTTCTCTTTGTCCAACTTCTGTTCTAGGATTTCAGAACCTATTTATGTTAAGGCTTAAAAGTTATTCCCAGAAGTACTGAATTGTTTAAACAAGAGATTATGCTACTGTTCACCTGGCACTGCTTTGTAATTTCTGAAGAGCAATCCTGGCTATATGTCTTTTATACATACATTTAGAGGCGTATCATGCTATATGTGTGTTTACATATGAAACAGTGTTGAAAGAAAGGGAAATGCATTCCTTCCAGCAGCTGCTGGTCATTAATTCATTAAAAGCCATTCACTCAGGAATTAACATATACTATTCTATAAGGGTTCCCAAGCTGTCACACTGGGACTACTACCAAGCCATATACAACAGTGTACTATAAAATTTTACACATTTCACAGAGCTGGGCACTTCCACCACTGTTGATCACATCTAGAAGATGACACTGGGTAGTCTCTTGCCACTCACATTCAGAGCTTGATTACAATTCCATTGAAGCCTATGAGAATCTTTTCAGGAATTTCACGGTGCTTGAGGGCATGCCCTCAGTGCTTAAAGGTTCATGGAATTTTTTATAAAGCCCACTGCTGAATTTTCCAGGGAAAAAGTTTAGGAGGGAACAGAAAGTTAAGTCTGCAGGTTTAGCATAGATCTGCTTCATATCTGGTTAGCTCTGTCCTTGTCCAAGTGTCTTGAGTTGTTTTGTCTAATCAAATATAAAACTAGACTCCAGTTTTGTAATAGTCTTAATTTAAAGACAGTTTACAATAATTGGAAAGTCAAGGTTCACTGACATTAAAGTTCCTGAGTAGGCATCACAGTTTCGGTATTGTTCCTCAAGGAGCCATTTTGGAAAGATTCACACTTCCCAAATGCTTCACTTTACTAAAGTTTAAGAAGAAATTCAAGATTGTATTATCAATTTATAAATCCATCTGTCAGCTAAGATCTAACAAAAGCGTATATTTGGATGCAAGGATTTTATTGTCTTTGACCTAACAGTATTGACTGTCTGATAAGCAGAGAATTTCTGCAAATATTTGAAGAATAAACCTTGACTGCTGGGCTTATCCCCTATCACCAAAGCAAAGGGAAAGATTCTCTAGGCTCTCATTGACTTAACAGGGAATCAAATCAGAACTTGGGCCAAAAGGAAAATGCAACTAATTCCCCAAAATTAAAATAGTGAAACTCCATTGTTAGTGGAGTGGTTGATTTGAGTGGACTTTATCACTTAAATGTAGTAATTGTAGGTGACTGGGATGAGCAGTTTTACCACCACCACAAATCAAAGGCATCACCAAGGAATGTCAGTGAGGTTATATGCTTATTGAGTCTCATCTATTGTGGGGGGAAAAGAACTGAGAAGTGCTTAATGACTAGGCAGATCCAGTTTCTGCCTTGCCAGTGACTTGGTCAGCAGTGCAGTACACTGCTCAGAGTTTTCTGAGACTCCCAGAATGATGAAGAACAAATTGTAACCAGTAAGGAATGGCATGTAGTGGAGAGAAGTTTGGGAATGATGTTATAGTCATGAAAGCTGCTAATTTTGTGTTAAAGTTGTTAACATATTTTTATAATTGATTGCATAAAGTCAGATTCTACCTGCCTCATTAATAAACAATTTGCAATGCACAGGGAAGGGTAGACTGAGGAGTAATGTCTGCCTTTGCTTTCAGAAGCTCTTTTAAAAGACTAATGTAAAGGAGTGCTTAAATAAAATTAATTTGCCACATGCAAAAATTTATTACCAGGCTGACCAAATTCTTGTCAACATAATGAGAGGCTGAAAAATCTGTTTGCAAAGCCAGTGTTGTTGCAAATGTTGCTGCACAGAAAAAAAAATTGCAACTTCTGTCATGAAAATGTGAGCTCCAGCATTCAGGGAAACAGTGCACCAATTTGCAGAAGGGAACATAGAGGTCGTTTTGGGTGCATGCTCATTAAGGAAAGGAATTGCATTGGATTGTGGTAGGGTAGAGAATAAAATTCAAAGCTCCTGTGTCTGCAAGAAAACAGAGCAGTACATATGTCACAGTGACTTCTGATGCACAGACACGATACTTAAATTCTAAAAATGGATGTAAATTAGGTTTACTGAAGATCACAGTCCCTGTAAGCTGTCCATCAGCTCTCCCTGAACTCATTAGTTAGCTAGTATCCTTGATACAGAAATGCCTGCTGGATCCATGCTTTATTCAAGCTCAAGTTCAGCAAGACTCTTAAGTGTATGAACAGGGTTAAACAGGTCTTGTAATTTCACTGAATTCTGGACGATGCCAGCAAGGCAGAGCTGAAGTCACAGAGCCTGACAATGAGGTACAACATGCCACAGGGTCCCAACAACAGTTCATATATGCGCTTTAAGGCACGGAAACATTGCAAATCTGACAAGAGTCTTGCACATCCCAGCCTCCTTCTGGGTCAGTTCCATTTGTTGCACAGCAGTGAAGTGTTATGTCTGTGGAGAAAGAAACGATTGAATAATGACATTTGAAACCTAATCTGTGATTTAAGGATCAAGAATAGAGGAATATCTATCTCTCACACAGAGGTAGATGTAACAGGACGATACAGGGGTTGTAAAATTATATATTAATACTTCTAATGTTTGAAGAGTATTTTAAGGTGTTTATAAGAAATCACTCTGATGCTGGGAAGTAATGGTGGTCCCTTGCACTTCCTTTCTCACCGTTTCAGTTCAAGTACCCATCCTGGGCCTGATACTGACTGACTGACTTAAATCCATGAGCATTTGGAGTAAGACCAGAGTTTCTCTAATGCGATTTCAAGCTGGATGAAACAGAAGTCCTGTGGAACTAACAAAAACATTGAATTTTAAAGAGATGGGATAATTTTCACTTCCTCATTTTTTTTATTTACAGCATTGATTTATTTTTACACAGTTGCAGACTGGTAGCAGCATGGGCTGGGCCTGGACCAGAAGTGCTTGGGTTTCTATAAAGTGTTGTGTTTGCTCACCTGAATGTGCCACTACTCCCACAGAAATGCAGTACTGAATGCAACTCAAGTGTTTACACAGCACTGGTGTAAAGCAGGCAGTAGATCGCTTCCTTTATGGCTAAACCTGTGGGTACATTCTGCTCACTGCTGTATTAACTGAATATTAATGATTAATGAAAAAAAAAAGACATGAAGAATAGTTAAACCAACTTATTATGGTCTTAGGATAATATAAAGTTTACTGACTGCTGTAACAGGCCCTTCCCATCCTGCATGTACTGCCCTGTACACATGCTCCAGTGAAGGTCCTGGTGTACCCCACAGGAGTCTGTTTCTCTCCCAGAACACCTGGAGCCAGCCTGAGGATCATTAAATTACAGATCTGATTAAAAGGAATCTGTTATTTTAAAGAATTTATCTTCTTTCTCTTTCTAGGACAAACAACTGCTATAGGCATTTAGTTTGAATTGAAAACAAACAGGGCAACTGTAGTGACCAGGACCATTTCAATTTTACCTGATTACCTCAGATTTTTATATCTGCTGAACCTCTAGTTTGTTCTATTCATGTCAGCTCAAGTTTTCTAAGAAACATAGAACTTATCTCTTCCACATCTATTCATGTTTAAATAAGATTGTATAATAAATCAGGTAATAGCACCATGGCTAAAAGTAGCAGAATCAGGCTGGTAAGATCTAATTCTGGATGACTGGCACACACAGACTCTTAATCTGAGGTTTGATAAGGCCCATAAATAGCTGGATTGCTGCGATCCTGTGATCAGGTTGACAGAATCATCCTGATTCTGACCTCACACAAATGCAAAAGAATTTCTGACTTTGTCCCTGTATACTTCATGCAGGTCTTTGGATTATACTTAAACCATGAACACAGTTCAAGGTTATCATTTCACATTAACAAACGTTGGCGGAGAGACTAATCTAAAGTAACCAATTAAGAATGATCGTGGGAGCCTGTCGTAGTGAAGTCATGGAATTTTCTCCACTAAACCTCTCAGTTACAGGCCTTGTCCCACCATCTTGACTCTGAAGGGCTTTGACAGGATTTCAAGCTTGAATCCTTGAAAAGGGCTCATTTACAAGCATCACTAGCTTGCATTGAAACAACTTGCAGATTTCTTTCCCTTCTCTGCAAACAGGGTTTCACTCCAGCTGAGTTTCCTGTAAATGGGTTCCACAGAATTCATTACTGTCTAAAAATTATTCACTTATCTTTTTCCTAATGTTCTTACAGGATGTACCTTTGAATCCATGTGGGGACTGGATACGTAGCATTGCATTTCTTGTCAAGGGAGTAAATAAGCAGGTTACCAGAAGAACAAGAAAATAACCTAAATCCACATTTAAATCCTGCAATATACTTGTCAGTATGGATTTTTAAGGATAGTAATTACAAAGTAAACCTTTTAACTACACAAAATTTCTGCAATCATTTTTTCTGTGCACTAACAATTTAAACAAAAATGTTATAACTGAAGTTAAAAAACTCAATCTCAGAAATTTACAGCCACGGTAAAAATCAGTGCCTAGAGACTTTAGAGCCAGGAGAAATAATTTTGATTATCTTTCTTGTCTAACATGAAACTCGGGTTGTCAATCAGGAATTCCAGTAACATTTGTTTAGGGCTTTGTTTGAGTTAGATTGTCCTGCTGAAATTTAACACCTGTAAAAGCAAACAAATCTTTTTCTTACTTCTTATTTAAGCCATTATTTACTCACCATTGATGTGTTGTGGCATTTGAAACACAATACTTAATTGCTGCTTGAAGCACTGAAAAACAGACCCTTTCAAATACAACACGTCTGAAACCGTGGGGAAAATGGTGGCCATAATCTTGCTTGAAACTGCACAGTATATTGCATGTTGCATTTTAAGGCAATTTCTGTAAAGAGGCGTTCATTTTTCGTTTTTACATTCTTTTTTTTTTAACCAAGGGTGCAGACTGAACTCTGAGACAAGAAAGAACATTGTGCAAGACTCAGTGCTGTTATCTAAAGAATATTGTTTCTTATCTCTCTGGATTTGTACAGCACAGTGTGGCTAAACTACAGTGATGAGTGAGCAGTTATTTCAGGCGACAGGGGTGGAGGATACTGAGAGGAATGCAGGGAAGGAGTACATTTAGATATCTGGAAAGATAATACATTAGAAAATTATTCCTTGCCGTCCCATTTCTTGCTTATGGGAAAGCCTCCTAAAGGGATCAGGAGAGTTCCAATCACTTTGGACACCAATGTTAAAAATGGTGCGTTGTGCCCTGAGAGAAATAGTGTGGGTCAATTACTTCCATTACTTCTGTCCACATGGCTTTCTGGGAACACCTTAGGTGCCATTCTCCAGAATGCCTTTGAACCTTCCCAGGCACATCTGCTCTGTGGAGGGTCCCCACCTATGAGACCGATGTCTTGCTTTGCCAGTGCGTCCAGCTGTTACTCCACCCTGTGAATCAGCTGCACATGCACACCCTGTTTTGTTGTTGTCTCTAAGGCCCTTTTAGTGTTTTCCTGCCTCACCATGTCGCACAGGTAAAGGATAACCAGGCCAGTAGCCAGGACTCTCAGTTTTCCCACTCTGTGCTGCTGTCCTGCCTGGCAGATCAGCCATGGAGGGCTGGGCAGGGAAACCACCCTGAAGGTCTGGACTGCTGTGTTGTCATGAAGAGGGCTGAGCCCTTCTTGCAGGCTTTCACAAACAAGCCTCAAAGACCAGATTCCTCATGGCTGGCAGGCAAGAAACCACTCATGTCCCTGGGCCCAGAGCACTTGGACACTCTGAAGTGTCTGTGCCCAGGTAACAGCATTTCAACACGCTGTATCAGAAACAGGTCATGTTACCCACTATGGCCCACTGTGAAGCCCTTACTCTGACAACATCCCAAGTGCTCACAGGACATGGTCCTAAATCTGAACTCTGTAAAAGAAGGCCATAGCTGCTTTGTACTTTCCCCTTCCTCTCCATCTGCCCTAGCAGGCATACCACAGCCAGGGATAACGACACAGGGCAATCTCTTTCCCATAGGAAAATGCTGCACGTGACAGCCTAGCATGCCTTAGGGACAATATGGTTCACTCAGAACTACAAGGGTGTTCCCAGCTCTTGTGTTCCTGGTCTCTCTCAGATCTAGAATCGAACTGGGGCTGTCTTTGGAGATGATCCGAGGCAAGATTATGACGATCTCTAATGCATATATGTTTGTACTAAACTACCCAAAGCAAAGTCTGTAAAGCCAAATGACATGGGTGGGAAAACCAAGACGAACTTCTTGGATACAGAAACTCTACTTCATATCTGATTGCTGCAATGACAATGTTTTTACTGTTCCAAGATAATTAAACATACAGAACAATTAGCTTATGAACCACTACCTCTGAAGTCACTTTATCCTTACCCTCAACTGATACCAGGTGGAGGGACACAACACCCTGCTTCTGGAGTCCAGCGGCACCTCAGCCCTCTCCTCCCACACCATAAGTGCTTGAAGGTCAAAACAGAGAAGTGAACCAACAAATCTGGCTCCAAAGGTGTTGCTAGTAATTGCTGAGAGGTCACATAGATGAAACTGTGGCACAGAAGGTGATCATAGGTTACATATTACAGATTTTCCCTTCTCATCTTCACATCTGTCTTTTATTAAAGAGACCAAAGAATTCATCGTGGCACCCTTAAAAGATAATCAGCTTGTTAAGTAAGTGAAACACTGAGCTGAGCTGTGTTCTGCCTAGGAGCAAATCAAGTCCGTGTGAAATCCCGGTTACCTCTGAGGCAGCACGTCAGCTCTATATTGAAGACTCAGGTGGCACTCAGTTGATACCCAGGTCCTGAATTACTGCTGCAAGCAGGTGAAATTCAGCCGGTATTTTTAAGGTAGCACAGTGATACTATTTTCCGAAGTGTTTTGAGGAGTTGCTAGCCAACATGCTACAAGACTCGGTGTTTATCTTTTGTGTCATGCGTCAGCGGTAATTACTTCACAGGCTAGGTGTGTCATTGGGAAGCACTGAAAACTCCCTTTGTTTCAGGTTACCTGCATGCCTCAGTGTGGCAGCTGAGCAGTAATCAGCCCGATCCCCTTCTCCTCCAGCAAGGCCTCACAGAAGTTATTTGGTTTGGTAGCCTCTTTGTTTCTGTGTTACTGGCTTTAAGGCAGCTGGGGCTGATTAGATAAGGTTACTGTGTATCTGCAGCCTTGACATAAAATAGATTTAGTTTACCCTCAATGTTTAGCGGGGTCGTTGAAAACCAATTAAGGATATATGTACATTGTGTATGAGCTGTTTGCTGTGAAACACAAATAGTTTTTTCTCATGAATATTTAGTTGAGGTACAGTTCCAGGTAGGCCCTAGCAAAATATCAGAGTTAAAATTCAGGTCTGGTGAAAGTAGGCAGTGTTATGCTTTGTTTAGCAATGTCACTCTGCTTATACCTGCCTTGTACTTGGTCTTACGTCTTAATCAGTGCCTGGCTGTTTTCAGTATTATTGTGTTATCACAGAGCAAACAGAGGATTTCTCAAGAGATAGCTGGATTCTTGTACTTCAGACTCCAGCTTGGTGTCTTACTCATGATATACTAAGGTCAAAATTACTCTCCTTTATCTGCGAGAAAAATCTCTATTAGTATATTTTGTTCTTATTCAGCACTGAGAGCTCCCTGTGCAGCTTGCACTGCTACTGGGCAGCTGCCGCCTGAGGGGAGCAGAAATAACTTCAGCTCCTAATGGCACTTGGAAATGTTCATGTCTACAGCAGATGCAAGTGATGCAGAGTAGGAGAGCTGATGTAAGGACTAGTGAAAAACAGCATCCCCAACATTACATGTTTTCTGTTTCTCTCACTGTTGTATGCAGCCTTTAAGGTTAACTAGCCTTACACTACAAAATAAACCTAATCTCTAATGTTCAGAAGGAGGAGAGGCCTTGTTGCATAGAGCACTTAAATAAGGCTAGGCAAAATATGAGAAGAAATCTGAAAGAGACAGTCCTGAGTGGAAAAATAGGCCAGTGATATTTGAGACTTTTGAGCTTTACCTAGTAACCTGTGCATAAATTTTTTCTGTTTCAATTAGGGAAAAATGTGAGAAAATGGTCTTTTGATAGCTGGCACCAAACTGCACAGTAATACACAGCTTATATTACTGCCTTAGCAGTAAAGAGGCAAGAGCCATGCTAGATGTTTTATCTTGGCTGAGTATTTAACTGCAAATTGCATCATAGCTAATGCATCTTCTGAAATTGAATGAGAAATACAAGTACCAGTCAATATAAACAACTTTCACAATTTACACTGAAAGAGGACTTGGCTGTGGAGAGAACTGGCCAGGAGGTAGAATCACTGCCATTCGGTCTTGAGACTGGGGTTTAAGGCCTTTCTAATGTTACAGGCTGGATTTGAGAATCACCAGGTGAAACTCAAGGGCTTAGTTTATGCTGAAAGTCAAACAACATGGTCGTTCTGATCTTAAAGGTGTGAGTCAGCATCATATCATAGGAAAAGAAAAGGGACTCTATGTGCATTAATTGTACATTGAACTCTGCATACTTAGCCCTGAAAGAGTTCTGGCACTCGTAGTTAAATTGAAATAGCTTATTACTTGTGGTTTTGAACTCTTAAAACCTCATTCCCACAGTGAGAGCAACAAAACTGTCAGCAGTGAATAGAATTATAAAGCAACTTGAAAGAACTCCTGTACATAGATTGATGAACTATTTTTCTCTCTATCAACCAGTGGGCATTTATTTTGCCTCCACCTTACCACTCACACCTGCTCTAAGCACAGATATATGCTCCACTGATGAAGTACATGAACTAAGTCGGTTAATATTATTTGACATGCAGTTTTTGTCAGCAGTGTCTTAACACATCTCTACTTTGATGTTAAAAAAACTCAAAAATAAACAAACAATCAAACCAAACCAAACAAAACCCACAAAACAAAAACCAACCAAACAAAAACCTAAAATGGCTGGTCCCCATAGAAGGAGTTCAGATGTGCAGGGGGTATTTTCAGTATATGGCACTCAGCTCTGCTTTTAATCAGATTTCAAATAAAAAGCACAAAGGAAGATATCAAGGTGGAATAGAGATTACTTAACTAGGGGAACTCCCTTCCTCTTTCCTTTCTTATCATAGGCATTAAGATCATTACTTCATTTCAAGACGTAAAAGCTGTGTTGCCCCTAGTTTCCATTTGCTTTGAGCCTTGGACAAACATGGTTGGATTTACACATGTGGTAAAATCTCCACAAATTCAGTATGTAATGAACTTCATTTGTCATTTTACACTTTTACATAATACTTTGTGGTATGATTGTTCTCATTCAGTCATTCATTTCAGAAAACTCTCAGTGCTTTTTCTATTTGT